TCAAAAAGTGTTATTTTCACACTGTGAAAACTTTTGATATTTGTCACAGTGTGAAAGATATCAGTTTTATCAAGTTGACAGAATCTGATATTTCACTGGCAAAAATGTAAAAAATGAAGATTTTTAATCCAAAACTTGACCCCCGATTTCTTGTCCTCTTAAAACCTGCTTGAAATTTAAAAAACACGATCCTGATAACAGAATACTGTTGCAACATACGGTCGTCTGCACACATTTTTATCATTTGTTTCGTATTGTGTAGAAATAGAATGGCCAAATTTGCCATTTTGTTTCAACACAAACGAATTCCCCATAGTCTGCTCTATGATTAAAATACAATTTTAAATGAAGATTTTCGCAATTGGTTTGTGGTTGATGTTGAAATGAACGGGAAGCATGAATGCTGCGACGAAAAAAGTATTAAGAATAATATAGAAATCACAATCTTTAACTTCAAGTTAATAGACTTCCTAAAAGCTATTGATGCCTTGGAAACATTTATTTTATGAAATCAAAACTAGCGTCTGTTTACAATGTTTTTAAAAGTTGTTCTGCTTTATTACCGGAAATTGATACTGGAAATCTTACATGTACAATTCATTACATTTAAACTGTAATGTGTAAATGATTCTCATAAGTGATTGGTAAGATAGCGTATATTCTTACGCCTTTAGGTATGTCAATACATGTATATTATTTCAGGGAGGAATCAAGAGTGTGGTGTGGACAGACGTGTTCCAGTGTGTAATGATTTTCATCGGACTGGCAGCAATAACCATTAAGGTGACGTTTCCTTCCATAGGTTTCCCACCGGTTTATAAAATTAACGTTGTTCAGTGTTTAACAGTCATATTATATTGTACGATATCACATGTGATACATATAAACGTGGTGTGATAGCATTAAACAATTTTGGCATGCTTGTCGTGTTTCTGAACTGGAACATCTCGCATACAATTAGTTTCCGGAGTGCACTAGGTCTAACGGTCTAATTAACTCGGTACCACTAACTGTCACCCGGTTAAAAGCCACGTGACATGTGTAAAATTTGACACGTCGAAGAAATGTAACATGCCAACATTAAATTTGCCTTTCTGTTTGTGACCGTGACAAATATTAACACACCCATTTATGCTTTTTCTGAACACCTACCAGCTGCTTCTTAGTTTCTGTCGTAGACTTGGAGAGAAAGCAATGATGATATTCTGTTATATTAAGTAATATCATAAGGGAAACTAACGTTTCGAGGAGTTGATCAGTAGTCGTAAAATAACTGTATTTAACCTTATGATGACTTGCCATATATATAACAACCAGGATAAACTATTTCCACTTAGAATCCTTGTATTTAAAAAAAAATCCTCTTCGTCTTAAAAAATATATATTACAAAATGATTAATGATAGCTATCAGACACTCTCACTCATTCTTGCTATATAGGACGCAAAAACGCTGTTTCATCAAATTGATTATGATGGACTGTAGCTATTTGAAACCATCCTTTCCTTTACCTTAACAACGAATTACAGTATCAAATCCTTAGGCCATATAATAAAACGAAAATAATGTTTACCTCCGCAGTACTCAATTAAATGTTTTATTGAACACGTCTTTTTCTTCCCATTTTCTCTCTCTCTCCTCAATAGGGCAGCATTCTCATGGGGACACGTCACTCCGTGGTAGATATCGCGACGGAGGGAGGAAGGCTTGAGTTTTTCAAGTATACAGCTTTTTACACTAGTAACTTATCAATTTTCGTCCTGAATAACATTTATACTATATATTGATAACAATATCATTACATTGTATTGGAGAAAAATCAACTATATGAAAGTGATAGCTTCACTTCAGGAAAACTATCCATAAATAAGATTTCTGACCCAGTGAAAATAACTACGATTACTTCTGTAATATTGATCGTCATTACAAAATGCTTTCTTTAATTGTGTACATCGCTATCAATTTAAAGTTAAAATGTCCATCAGTCTTGAAATGACTAAATTGCGACACTGTCTGAGAACTGATCTCTGAACTCAAAAAAATATGATATAAAATGGGCACACTCGTTTATATGGCGTTATATGCTATATGTAAGGCATCAGTACGTTAAAGCCGTATTGATTGGTCGTTATATTGGCCTGTTGATAGTGTACGACGTCATTATATTTGCCTATTTATAGTGTAAAATTTCATTTTATTGGCCTATCGTTAGTTTTAGACATCGTTATATTGGCCTGTCTATAGTGTACGATGTCATTATATTGGTCTAGTTATAGTGCTAGTTGTTATTATATTAGCCAATATGTAGTGTACAACGTCATGCTATTGGCCTATTTATAGTGTACGACGTCATTATATCTGCCTATTTATAGTGTAAAACTTCATTTTATTTGCCTATTTAAAGTGTACACCTTCATTTTATTGGCCTATCGTTAGTTTTAGACATCGTTATATTGGCCTGTCTATAGTGTACGATGTCATTATATTGGTCTAGTTATAGTGCTAGTTGTTATTATATTAGCCAATATGTAGTGTACAACGTCATGCTATTGGCCTATTTATAGTGTACGACGTCATTATATCTGCCTATTTATAGTGTAAAACTTCATTTTATTTGCCTATTTAAAGTGTACACCTTCATTTTATTGGCCTATCGTTAGTTTTAGACATCGTTATATTGGCCTGTCTATAGTGTACGATGTCATTATATTGGTCTAGTTATAGTGCTAGTTGTTATTATATTAGCCAATATGTAGTGTACAACGTCATGCTATTGGCCTATTTATAGTGTACGACGTCATTATATCTGCCTATTTATAGTGTAAAACTTCATTTTATTTGCCTATTTAAAGTGTACACCTTCATTTTATTGGCCTATCGTTAGTTTTAGACATCGTTATATTGGCCTGTCTATAGTGTACGATGTCATTATATTGGTCTAGTTATAGTGCTAGTTGTTATTATATTAGCCAATATGTAGTGTACAACGTCATGCTATTGGCCTATTTATAGTGTACGACGTCATTATATCTGCCTATTTATAGTGTAAAACTTCATTTTATTTGCCTATCGTTAGTTTTAGACATCGTTATAATGGTCTGTCTATTGTGTAAGACGTCATGATTAGTGTAATATGTTATTTCTCTCCATTGTTGACGATTTTTTGTATCAAGATAGCGTCCGAATCCCGGTCGAACACAGCATAACATTATATATGGGTACGTTTAAGATTTTAAGATATGCTTACATTTCCATGTTACTACATATTGATAGAGTGTTAACAGAAAAAGTACTATTATATTTGTAGCTTTGACCCGGATCCTAGAGCCCGGCACACAGTCTGGGGTATGTGGATTGGCCTTACATTTGGATATATTGCAAATTGGTGTAACCAGTCGAGTATCCAGAGGGTCTCTTCTCTACGAAGTCTGAAGGCTGCTAGAAGGTTACTGTCATTTTTATTCCATAACTATAACATTTCATTCATTTTTATAACACTTGTTCCAAGTATAAACTATACAAGATGACATCAGATCAATTGAATTTCACTGAAGTTTTGGTAAAATTATTTAATTTCTTTAAGAAACACACACTGTTGGCATAGCGAAATATGCATATGCGAAAACCTAAAACCAGGATCATGATTTTGGTAACTGATTAGATAGGGATCAGTCTATATCAACCGTTATTAGCTACTGAGGCATACAAATATTACGATAAACATTCATCCGAGAAGGTAAAGAAATAACTTACCTGGGAGCAAGTTAGGTTAAATATTAAACATGATGTATCATTTAGATAATGAAACTTGATACATCCGAGTCCTAATAACAGACCACTGTGTATGACAATTGAGTCCTGACAACTGACCATAACATAATGACAATTGAGTCCCGACAACAGACTCTATTTTATGACAACTGAGTTCTGATCACAGACGTTATCGTATGACATCTAAGTATTGATAACAGACAATAGCGCATGACATTTGAGTCATGATAACATACCATACACTATGACAGCTGAGTCCTGACAACATATCACAACATATGACAACTGAGTATTGATAACTGACCATAGCGTTTGGCGCCTAAATCCTGATAACTGACCATAAAGCATGATAACTGACTCCTGATAACAGACGATATCGTATGATCATGAAACATATTACCGACAACAATGTATGACACCTGAGTCCAGGAATCGGCAATAGTGTATGGCAAGAGAGGATAATAGGACGACATGAATTATGATGCTAAACAAAATGGGTGTCACTGCCTCCATTATTTCTGTTTATTTAGAGTATTTTGGCTGATGGTGCCTATCATCTTTACCTACTTCTCGTTACTCGGATATTTGGGAATCCTCCTTTACTCGTATTACAACACTTTGAAATGTGATCCAGTTCAAGCCGGATTTCTCAACAACTTTAACCAGGTAACATTCATAATGTTTAGATAAAATATTCGCATCAAAGTAGTATCGTTAGCCTATTGCGTCACATCAGTGTTGGATACTAGAGGATAATTTTATTTGGGATCTTTTATTTTCTACAAAATTACATCTGACATGTTATGTCAAGAAGTTACTCTTTGATAAATTATACGCACATTTTATGTGTACAAAGCAAAGAAATGTAAACTATTAACAACATTGGTTTAACAACATCGTATATTGAGGAACTTGATGAAATTGTATGAAAATGTTTCACGAAAGTTAAAGGTATGTTTTTTAATTGTTTAACAGTCGGATTTGATTTTAGTCTATTTTGTGTTTGCAGCTGATGCCGTATTTCGTACTTGATGTATTACGGTCACTGCCCGGTTTATCTGGTATCTACATCAGCTGTTTGTTTAGTGGCGCTCTCAGGTAATGGTATGACTTGATGTATTCCGGTCACTCCCTGGTTTGTCTGGTATCTACATCAGCTGTTTGTTTAGTGGCGCTCTCAGGTAATAGTATGACTTGATGTACTACGGTCACTGCCCGGTTTGTCTGGTATCTACATCAGCTGTTTGTTTAGTGGCGCTCTCAGGTAATGGTATGACTTGATGTATTACGGTCACTGCCCGGTTTGTCTGGTATCTACATCAGCTGTTTGTTTAGTGACGCTCTCAGGTAATGGCATGACTTGATGTATTACGGTCACTCCCCGGTTTGTCTGGTATCTACATCAGCTGTTTGTTAAGTGGCGCTCTCAGGGAATGGGATGACTTGATGTATTACGGTCACTCCCCGGTTTGGCTGGTATCTACATCAGCTGTTTGTTTAGTGGCGCGCTCAGGTAATGGTATGACTTGATGTATTACGGTCCCTCCCAGGTGCCTGGTATCTACATCAGTTGTTTGTTTAGTGGCGCTCTCAGGTAATGGTATGACTTGATGTATTACGGTCAATCCTCGGTTTATCTGGTATCTACATCAGCTGTTTGTTAAGTGGCGCTCTCAGGTAATGGTATGACTTGATGTATTACGGTCACTCCCAGGTGCCTGGTATCTACATCAGTTGTTTGTTTAGTGGCGCTCTCAGGTAATGGTATGACTTGGTGTATTACGGTCACTCCCCGGTTTGTCTGGTATCTACATCAGTTGTTTGTTTAGTGGCGCTCTCAGGTAATTGTACTAGATTGCGAATTGCAATGCAACAAACAGTCACAGTTTTAAAATAGTTAAACGTCAAAAAACTTACTTACTCAGGTAATAAATAGCTGTGTACACACTTCATTACAAGTCATAATTTCTGTAATGAGGTCAACCTGATGGAAAGGAACGATACACACATTTAAATTTTTATGTAGTCAACAGATTTGGCGTGTAATTGAAGATGCTATTACAACTAACTGTATTCTTTAATTACCCCTGGTATCAATGTTGCATGCGCGTCTAGTACTTTGTAACGCGGTTTATATGATGCGAATGTCCAGCGGTGTATATCTGTGTCGTATACTTTCGAACTGTGACATCATTTCAAAATGAGCAAAAATCAAAACCACTGGTGATGTCATAAACCTAGCATTATTTATGGCTTGGGTACACAATGTTTCTTACTTGTGTTTACTATTGCCTGTACAACTGACAAATACAAAGTAACATGACACTTAGCAGACAAATTTTGTCAGGAAGTATATGAACTCGTTTCATTTGGTTCAGCACGCTTTCATCTGGAATCAACGCATTATCTGCCAACACTGTCGAAGATATTCTAGGAGAATACCTAAAACAAACAACAATTATTTCACATACACTTGCAGCAAAGCTATTCGGTAAGTCATACTTGGACCATGTGTCTCCTCTTTATTTGTTTCGTTCGTGTCGATTTGAGGTCGGATGTTTTTGTAATGCCAAGGTATGTTTATCATTGTTATTTTCATATTTGGATAAATGATAAACAAATCTTACTTCATTTGAAAAAAGAATGCATTACGGAAATTACAAATAGTTAAACATAACTGAAGTATTAGAGTTCATTTATTGAACAAAAGCATCTTATCTGAAATCAGCGAATCGTGATAAAAAAACAAAAGAATAACGAAATGTCAACAAAACCATAAATTGGCATAATTCGAACTCACAATCCATAAATCCAAGGCAAACTATGAACAGAGTAAAACATTGATAAGGAGAATAAGACCAGGTGTATGTAAGGGTAAGCCACATTGCTTCATCGACACCGACGCCATGTAAATCTATATCAAATTATGTCACGTCCTCACATCGAAAAACTCGGGTAGGGCAACTAAACCACAAGGCACAGTATTTAGCAAAATCAAAATCAGCAACCTCCGTATCAAACAAAGACAATAAATTTCTCTATGACATCATGATAGTGACTATAAACGTTGTCCACAATCCTCATCAGTCTGCATTTTTAGAAACCCTGTGTTGTATGTTTGTCTAAATTATTGAAAAGCACCTGATAATATGTCGCATTACCAAAAGATACAAACATTTCTTAATGGATGTTGCCTCTCATATCCCCTGCTGCAGTGTTTTCGTACGGACTGATAGTCATTGGATTGGCATTTGTCATCAACTCCATGTCGGGATCCATCGTTCAGGTAACTAACATTTGTACGCAGATATATTGGACATATTTCAACGCAAGGATATACTTTGCAACGTTCCCTTTCAGGAATATCATGAAAATGAGATGGGATCTTATACGAAGCAGATGATGATAGATTTATATAGAGTTATATAGTTTCATTGATTAGCTGCCCCCATTACAACAATTTGGAGTTTTATTGTCTTTCCTTCCTGGTCTATATATCCCATGATGCCTCCCTAGACACTTCCGGTATGTCGGTGTGGGATATAATTTGACTTAGTGATGAGTCATGCTTAACTGTTCAGGTTATGCTATTTTAATGAGAGAACATTTTAAAATCTTCTATGGGTATGGTTTTACAGTGTATATGACTTCAGCTGATAGTTGTAATATGAGTGACACTGAATTCCAATCCTGTCGTTATTTATTGACGCTGCGTACAAAGTGTCCTATAATAAATCTTTACATAGGGCTTGTTGCTAGGCCTTTGGTATTTGTTTGAAAAAAGTTCTTACATGTATTTAATGATCAAATATTTTGTTGAAAGTTTCATCGTCATGCAAATAAACTCCAGATGACACTTAAATAAATCTTTCGAAAGCAAAGCGCGCTATATAGTAATGCTGCTAGTATTTTCATTGAAAATAGTGTCTACTTGGAATCGCTCTTAATATAAATTCAAGCATACAAACGAACAATGCATAAGGAAATCTTACAATTGTCCATCAGCTGGCCCTATCAGTATTTGGAGCGTGTGGAGGACCATTGGCCGGACTTTTCTACCTGGGTGGAATGGTACCAAAAGCAAACTGGATAGTAAGTAAAATCGGAAGTCAGAACGTATGTTAATAGAAAATAATCAACATCTTTGCTGTTTATGTTTATGTTAGTAAAATTATCAATAAAAATGTGAAACCGAGAATAAAACGAATTGTAATAGTTAATAATTTAAACATTAGACCGCTAGAATGGGTCAAAATGATGAAGACACGGTTAATCCTCGTTTTGTTTTCGTTTAGCAATAGTTAGATATAGTGAGGTTGATCTCATGAGGAATATGATACTAGAACCTGCCTAAGTTGTGCAAAACGTTTGTTCTGTAATTAATTTTATTGCAGCCATTCTGATTGTTTGCTATGTTTAGGGAGCCTTTAGTGGCAGCTTGACGGCTATTGTGTTCAACATGTGGATAGCAGTAGGGTCACAAATTTATGGTGCAAAACCGGTGAAGTTAATCCAGAACCGTACGAGTGGATGTTTTCTCAACAACTTCACAGTCACAACGAACGAGCCATCGATGTTCAATCATAATGCGAGTATAAATACAACTCCGTACGGTGTATTTGGACCCTCTAGCATGTCTGTAAACAGCCAAGTCAGGTAAGAATCAACATTGTAAATCATTCGACATAGTGCCAATCTTCTCTTTCACAACATATATGATACCTAACACATTGACTTGTGTTTCAATTGTCTCCTTTGATAATACATATCATCAATATACTGACACATTTACCAAGTTTAATGTATATAACAGTAACGCACACGAATAACTGAAGAATCCAATGTTGGTATCAGATTTTTCGTCGGCTTAGCATCTTGAATGACTTACTTGTTAAATTACGTTACCTGGACGTAAATATAAGATACGCCCGGTTAAAATAAAATTACGTCTAACAGGTGTTATTTCCAGGTGACTTCGAGCGTTGCCTGGTAACAACTGACATAGAAAATGCAGGTTCGCCTCTCCACCCATCGATTAAAAATTTGTAATTCTAGTTAAGTCTGTGAATATTTCGGCTCGGAATACATGGAATTCAAATTTATAATAGGAGTCTATGATTTAGTATTTATATACAACATACATCAGTGACGACTGTGTCCTGAAAGCACAATGGTTAAAATACATGCAGTGTATACATGTTTACAAAGGAAAGAACAGCATTTTGGAAGTATTATATCAGTGATATTTCGTACTTCCCCAGTAGGATTTTTGCATTTGGTACAGAACATCCACAGGGCAAGTCAGGAATATCTTGCTATTGAGGATAAAAGGGTGGGATTCAAAAGTGGTAAATTGGGGTTTGTCTTGAACCGACTACTCCTCAAAGATAAACGTAAGTTACACCACTTTGATTGTTCCTATACAATTTGGTAATAGATTCAGTATACCAAAATACACTGCATCATACAGCTGTTAGTACGAGAAAAAGTAGTTTGATTTTAATAAGGATAAACATTTCTTGAAAAAAGGCAATTCAACATTGTAGAAACGAATGCATGGTTAATCCCAGGCGGAGGGACGAGGCCAAAAAGGGAAAGATATTGTCACTATAACATGCTGCAAATTTAACTCTTGTGAAAGGACTTTAACCTGGTTTGCCAATGATCGTAGTCAAGGGGAATGCATTCTCACCCTTACGGTACAGACACTCGGGCGCAAAAGGGAAAATTGCAGTTAATTGAAAATAATATAGACATGACCCGTTGAATATATAATATGGCATTTATGTCTATGGAAATCTTATTTGTGGGGCAAAGACCCGAACTTATTTGTCATATACATATAATTCAAACAAATCGTGAATGAAGCATCCGGACTATTAAATACCTCACTTTTTAGACAATCGTTTACCTGTAAGCTAGAAAGCATTTTGTCTGATATTTGTTTAATAAAGCAAGTGATCCTAGAAAATGAGGTTCCTCGCGCCATTTTCTATCTCTGCGTTTCAAAATTTTCATTTTTTTATTTTTTTTATTTACTGAACTTGTAGTTCGGACGAAGGATTTTTCCTGTACAATTTATCCTATACCTGGTACGGTTTTATCGGATTCTTCCTGACCCTCATCCTTGGTGTCATCGTCAGCTTGTTTACGGGTATGTATAAGACTCGTCAGGAGAAACGAAACTTTCTTTTATAACTTTAAATGCATCAAGCATAGTTTAAAAAAAATATAAACAGGAATTGAAACAATTACCACAATACAATACCTGTTAGTACGCTTTTCTGTGTATGTTTAATTCTTAATGTTATAACAGGTAAGGCACATCTCTGGAATTGAAGATAATGTCCTCGGTAGAATTGTTTGTACATTGTATGCCAATAACATGCTGCATTCAATCTTTAGTCGAATCGTCATCTTAATATTGACATGTTTGATTTCATTCACCTTGTTTGCATTTAGGTGTCTTTCTATTAAATAAGTTGTCTCGGAAAATCCAAAATGTGTTCAATAACAGGAACCAGGTATATCAAATGTCCCTTTAACAAAACCAACATTTGCGACCTTTTAAATAAAAACATTGAAAACGTTTGAAACGCAATATGTCGTCCCTAAGCGATTGGAAGTGTTAGACCACGTATAGTAATAGTAATTCGTCTCTGCAAAATAGACAAAAATATCTGGATGTAGATAAAAGGATAGTAGTTCTACGTTTATCACTCAATACATTCGGGCCGCAATGGCAGAGTAGTTAAGGCGTCTGACCGTCTACGATCAATAGCCTTCGACCACTTCGTCGCGGGTTCGAGGCCTACGGGTACTCCGGTTATCCTCCACCTACAAAACCTGTTTCGTCCTAAATAACCAAAGCTGTTAATAGGGCGTAAAATACAAAATTAGCACAGTCCATCTTAACGAGCGTGTCTTATCTAATGGAGACTCGTTCATCCAGAAACTACTGGTAAACCTTTCTTACTGATCAGCTCGTGCTTGAGTAATTCAACCGTCTCATTATTTAATCCAGCCAATTTTGATACAAGGGCAGGTTGCCAGACTATCGTAGCTCTCCTGCATAACTTACTGTTAATCTGTTTACTTATAGGTGGTGATCGCGGAGACCCTGTGGAAGCCCGTCTCATCTTCCCTATTTGTAGAAAGATATGCCGTCTGGAATTTAAATATAGATACGATGAGGCGGATACCGAAGAGAAGGTATAGCTTATTCAAACAACAAAAAGAAAGCACCCATTTCTCAAATATATCAAAGGAAAGATTTTAAAATTATTACATATTTTATTGACGAAGTGCTGCTTGCCACTTTACTAAAGCAAAAAGTGATATACGAAAAGAAACACAAGGAACATCATTTCTATTTCACAAAAATATATCTTTGCTGCAAAAAACTCGAACCACGGTTTTCTTGATTGAAAGGTAGGGAGTTTAATTAGCCACTGTGCATTCAGTAATACTATTTGGTTTATTCAACACCCTTGAGAAAAGTTTAAGATGGCCAACAAACTAAAATTGTCTTTGCAGAAATATGCACACAGTAGCAAAGTGGTGGGTCCGGCTTTACCTTAAATAGTACTATTTCTATTTCGAAATGATAATCGAAAAGTCATATTTTTGTGCCGTGGATGAAAACAAACTACATTAATACTCGATGACAATAGCTGAAATAAATATGTAACCTTTTGATTTGTAGAGCGTTCATCCGATCACGCCTGCAAATAAGGGATCACCTATCATAATCCACCGGCACGGCGACGATGGTGCATCTTCATTATAGAAAATGATATGGAAATTCCATTATTGCTATATTTACATGAAGATATAAGTGTCTGAGAGACCCTTGCTGTTGTTCAACAGATGTTATCATTTGTACACACTTCTGCATGTTAAAAATATGTTTAGATCACTTAACGGTATATTATTCAGAACCATATGGCCATGGAAACTGGTATATCTTATCTGAGATAAGGAACTTTGACCTTTTAAGATTAAATTATATTCACCTTCATTCAAGTTTGTAGTGTTAAATATGTTCTAACAATAATACAGCCATGATACAATAGTATGTTTGATGACCAGTCACATGCATCTTTTTCAAATAATGTCAGTTTGATGCGATAATTAGAAGGAAGGGTGTCTATAAGGCCCTTTTTTGGGCCCCGTTATATTCGGATTTTCACCTCCTTATTTTGTTCAAATATGTCCTATTGTATGACATGCGGAAAAACTAAGATAAAACTTTGATAAAACAATGAAATCGGTTAACTTTAACGATTAAAGCAGATACTTTCCTTGAGGCTAAGAGACTTAAAATTACCAGCAAATCAAACTTCATATATTAAATCAATCATTTTAACTTAACTTTGATAAGTAAAAAAACAAATCAGACAATGGAACCCTCTTCAGCCACAGGTGTTGAGCAAATATTATATAAATAATATACAATACTAACAATTGATACATTATACTTATAGCATATAAAGGGTGTCATGCACCTTTTAATTCACTTAAAATTGAGAGATATTTGAAAAAGCAAAGGTTTGAGATGTGTCCAGAAGCCATAACTCAGTATAAAACAAAAAGAAAGTATGTAGTCAATATGCAATGTATGTAAGTCTACTTAAATGAGTGAAAATGTAAATTTCAAGTCAAAATATTAATTAGAAAGGAAATTATTGAGAAAACAAATTACTTTTCAATTGAAAATGACCGAAAAGACCCCTCTGACGTAATCCTTCGTTTTATATAAACAATCTTAAGTTACGATTGAATTTCTACCATTTTTCATTCTGTTACATATGCTTGTCTTATTTATACATGTTTTAAAAAACAGAAATGGAATTATTTTGGTTTGTTAGCTCATTTTGAAAACAGCTAACTATATTTGTGATTTACCATACCCCTTTTGGTACCCCCAGAAACCCACTTTCGGTAAAAGTTTTACCTCATTTTTTTCCGCATGTCATACAATAGGACATCTTTGAACAAAATAAGGAGGTGAAAATCCGAATATTACCGGGCCCCAAAAAGGACCCTATAGACACCCTTCTTTTACAAGAATTTTAAATTCGCGATCTAGACAAGTGAAGGAATACAACTTGTACGGTGTTTTAGTACAGAGATTGGACACTTGGCATATGACGTGTCAAGGAGTCAAAAGATTAGGCTTTATGACAGCATTTTAAACAACAACAAGTAAGTGTATTTTGTTGAACAAATCATCAACAAATCTATTAGATGTGTGATAGAACTATTTTCAGACACCGTTACTCTTTATCCACTTGAATCATCACAACACCATGCGCACTATTTCATGACGACATAACGGTTATGAAGTTTATTATTGCGGCTCAGTTAAGCGCTTGTCCTATTATTCTGCGGTTTATATTTTCACGATCACGTTAATGAACCGCGAAATCGAGAAAAAATACATCCTTTTTCTACAATGACAGCTTATTTGACCCTGTCATCGTCGTTGAATGACTGTATTGCGTGACCAGTTTTTCTGCCCGTCTTTTTATATAGGATACTTTGTAAATAGAGTGAAAATACTTCGATAAAAAAGATGGACATGTATCGACAATAACGTTTTACAAAACCATTTAGACTTGTACATTTATAACAATATTTAATCACAACAAATTGTTTCAAAACGGATAAACTTTCATTCACATGAAATAAAGAATACAGCCTTAAGCGTTGCCTGTAGAATAGCCGGAAGAACAAGGCCACATGAGAATCAAGCGATTTTGTTAGACGGACGATGCTGAGTTGTACAAGCATAACATGCGTATTTCAAATCGAATACTGAGGTAATAGTAGCAAAGAACAATGTATCTGCTGCCCCCATTGCAACATTTAGGATCTTTATGTTTTCTCTCTACTTGATGAAAACTTGTTTTATTTCCTCCCTTTCGGCCTTTGTTCAGCGTTCGTTTAAGTGTGGTGGCAATATGTTCTAGTGGTAGGACGCCGGGCTCATGACCGAAAGATTGCGGGTTGGAGTCACGGCAAGGCACTGTGGTATATCTTTGAGCAAGATACTGTACTCCTCTTGTTCCAGTCTACTCAGCTGTAAATAGGTACGTGGTTGGGCATTGCTAGAATTGTATAATGCAAGCTGTGAGCGCCGAAATGTCAGCACCGGCTGTATACTCCCCAGGGAGTTGAGAAAGATATTGGCTGGATGCAAAGGTCATATAACCACGGATAATAATTTGTGAACCGCTTTGGGACGACCTACGAACTAGGTTGTGATAAAGCGGAACATAAGAACCTCGAGTTATTATTATTATCATTATCCATATACCAAATTCCTTAAAATAGTAGCTATTATACCCTGCTTAAAGTTTAGCATTTAGGGACAACTGATTTATCCGTTTTCAGTACAATGTGAACGGGTAGAATACTGTGCTGGGTGCCTTTGGTATGGAATTACAATGAAGAATCATTCTAAAATTGGCCACAGATTCGCATTATCGGAAGAAGGCAAATACATCAACATGCTTTGTCTCCAGCACTTATACGCAGAAACATGCCTTCATTACACGCATGGATACACGTCAATAGCTGCCAATAGGACGAAATATCAAACAAACTCTCCCTTCATCAACTTTGGTATTTAACATCACCCGGTCGAAAACACTATTAATCACTGAAAGGTGCGTTCCACAAAGGGACAAAAAGAGGGCGGTTGGGACGTGTTAATATTTACACGATTGCTCCTCAAGAAAGGGCCAAAGGACAGAAAGAAGACACTAGGAAAGCGTGACTATTTACAAGATTGCTCCTCAAGAATGGGCCAAGGGAAATATTTACACGACTGCTCCTCAGGAATGGCACAAGGGAAAGAAAGAGGGCGGTTGAGACTTTTTATATTTACATGACTGCTCCAGAATTTCCTGTATATATTTAACGCTTAGATAATCGAATATTATTTTTATTAAAAGGATCTTGCCATGGAACGTTTCGATCAGGTAACCGTCTCGACTCCGCTACGGAAACGTACGTTTAGATAAATTATTCTGCCGCTCAGTTTATAGTCATGATTCCACTACGAAAACCTAAAGTTTCTGCCATCTTAGAGTCAGATTGGTGTCGGTTGGCTTTAACCGAATTCATCAAGAAATGGGAGGTCTATTTTATCATTTGTAGCGTGTCTATAGCATTTAATATGTACATACACTTTTGCTAGGTTATGTTTATATTGAATGTGGCAACTTGTCTGAATGTGTAAGTATATATCAATACCATAAGTAGTGGAAACCATAGATTTAATCTCATGCAGTATATAAAAGGGATCGTTTGCAAATGTTTTGATACGTATAACAATATAACTAACTTTTAAGCCGCGTTCACATTCAGCTGTTTATTACTAACATTAAGGTTAATGTTTTTACAGGGATTATCTTATAAAGTCTGTGATTTGATATTGGTGTTGGGAGTCTTGGTTAGTGTAGTCTACGAGTGATAAATAACTTATTATGGAAGTACATGTATGCAAGTGTGGTCGACACACTGGAATAGTTAAATTATTTCATAAAGTGGTTTACAAATGAATAAAAGAAAAGTTTCATCATATACGCTATCTCTTTAAGTGAAATTTGAATAAGAGAAGTACATGGTGAATCCTAAAATCTAGCCCAATTCGAATCTGAGTGCCATTTTATCATTCCAATGTATAGTTTTAATTGGGGTGAAATCATTTGTTTTATTTTATTTAAAAACAATTGCTAAAACATCAGGTCACAGTCGCCGTAGGGTTTCCATAAATAACATGCATCCGCAATAATCTTTGTGTCTGCAGTTTTTGTATACATAAGTATCTATGACTCTTTCTATATCAAGTTATTTCTATCAATTAAAGTAACCGAAATGTATTTTCGTAACATTGATGAGAGTATGCATTAAGCGCATCTTAGAGAAAAAGTTGATGTTATATGTTATATACCATTGTTTGAATTAAAAACACTTCTATAAGTTTTTTTGCAAGACAGGTGTATTTTTTTAAATTAATCTAATTAAGCAAAATTAAGAGAATAAATTGCAAACGAAATCAACTTCCTGCATCTCTATATAGTTAAAATGTTTACAAAAATCCATTGTTGGGAAAATATGCCATTGCTCTATTTTTTCCACCTCAATGATAAAGATGTTAGATGGTGTGGGAAGGACAATGTTCTAATAATAAAAAAATTCATATTAACGTTTTTTTTATGTTTTATAAAAATACCATAAGAAAAAAATTGATATCAGTTGTATAAAAAAGAAAATTGTACTGAATATGTACATCTTTTTAATGATCATGAAAGTACATTCTGTAATCTAAAAAAAGACCTTCATTCCGACATTTATCACCTCTTTATAACACTGTACACGCAAAATCTTTAGTTTACAAAGATAAAACATTTCATCAATAATGTATATATCAGGTTTTCATTTTGTTACTGTTATAAATAGTTACTCTCGCGACTGAGAAGAACAGAATGTCGCCATTTTTACTCCTATATATTCTTGAATAAATATGCATGCATTATATTTCCCTCATAAATACTTAATACGTGTTTGTGATAAAATTTCTAGTGTATTCATAACTTACATCTTCTTTGCAATCGTTCCTGGCTCCGTTCACGGTAAAAATACCTAGTAAGGAAAAGATGGATTTAACATTTGTTCCCGTCCCTAGTCCACATATCGCTGACTATATCGTTATAGCCATTTTCCTCTGTATCTGTTTGGGGATCGGCGTATACTATGGTTATCAAACCGACAAAAACTCAACATTGGAGTATTATTTCCTTGGAAACCGACGCCTTTTACTTTTACCGGTGGCAATGTCCCTCTACGTGACGTATGCGTCAGCTATTTCTCTGATGGGCACTCCAGCCGAGATTTACGTCTACGGAATAAGCGGGATGTACCATGCCATTCCCTACTTTCTTTCACTGATAATAGCGAACAGTACCGTTGTTCCTCTACTGTACCCACTACGACTCACCAGTACATACGAGGTAAGTCTAAGAGATATATTTTACCATTTTACTACTGAAGTGATAAACAATGTAACACTTGCAACTTTTGTTGGTCTTAATGTAAACATTGCGAAGGGTTTTTAAGTTAGGAAACCCATCAACGCAGTTGCAGGCCATGCTCTAGCAAATCTAGAACATTGCATGAATTTGTTTGGAATGTTTCGTTTTCACTTCTAGCCGTCTGCAGATATTTCAAAATACTCAGCACAGCTTGTACTATGTATATATTCAAAGGCCTACAGTACATCCCATTCATTGGTTTCTGCACCATACAGATCACAGTACGGGATAAATGATGCATATACATAAACACTCTCGAAATACTTAATCCTAAAACCAACAGAGGTTTTCCAACACAACTATAACATGACAACAAAGTTGTGATTGACTCAGCAGACTTAACCGAGTATTTAATCAGTATTTCAGTTATTGTGCTAAATCTATAAAAACCCCTGATCCAGTCTGTTAACCCGTAGAAACTTTTCTTAGTGATACATTTCCAGGTGACACTGAAACTTTTACAAGAGATGATATACCTTGTGAAGATGTATTACTCTATCAGCAAAAATCAAATATAAAAAAGTAATGGATAAGATGGCTTGAAACCTAAGTTATTAAAAATATCAGCTAAAGTAATATTTAAGCCAATTACACATATTATCAACACAAGCATTAAAAACAATACATTTCCGTCTTTCCTCAAAGAAAAAAAGCTGGACTAACTCCTATTTCTAAAAATGTCGATAAGGACAATGCTACCAACTATCGCCCCATTTCTGTTTGCCAACTATTTCAAAACGTATAGAAAAGCATGTTTCAAAACGGATAAATAAATATCTCAAACATCATGACATATTGAATCAAACTCAATCTGGATTTAGAGAAAGTCACTCATGTTTCACAGCGTTGACAAAAACAATTTATAGTGAACTTGAGAAAGGAAATATGGTACGTTAAATCTACTTGGATATGAGAAAGGCTTTTGATCTGGTGGACCACAACATTCTATTAGAACAAATACATCTGTATAATTTTAGCACATGTTCATTACAATGTATAGCTTCTTATCTTTCTGATAGAACCCAGTAGGTCCAAATTAAAGACATTTTATTAAAACTTGAATTAGCTAAATAGGGTGTCCCCCAAGGATTAAAACTAGGTCCTATTCTATTCCTATTGTATATAAATGATTTACCATTACATACAGCATCTACCACACTTCACATATATACAGAGGATGCCACTTTTCTTGCTACAGGTCCAAATAGTGCCTTCATAAACGAAATGTTACAAAGTGTATGCAGAGAATATTTACGGAATGTATATAAATGTAGATAAGTTAACAACTATGTTAATATGTACTGTAAATAAACTGTAAAACAAATTATAACAAACTCCTTTCCAATGTTTCACAACATAAAATCAATAAAGAACTTAGTCCGAGTGCGTAAACAACAATTACATTCTCCTGGATATCGGCAAATCAAACTAAGCGAACATCCTGGTATATGTGGACAATGGAACTGTAAGACATTTCTTTTTATAAAATGTAGACTGGCACTGTTTTAGAAAGAAAAGAGAAAGAAAAGAAAAAGAAAAGAGAAAGAAAAGTATTTCATCAAATTGTTAAACCTAAACTAAATTGTCTTATAAAATATTAACCTCCCTTTGTATACTCTGACGTCACCATTTTTATGACGTCAGAGTGTATTTTCCTTTTTACTATCTAGTTATTTTAAAGCATCATTTTAATAATGCTGATAGCGCTTATGCTTAATGAAGACTTCGTTGTTTGATTTTTCTTCTATATTTTCAACCGGAAAATGTGAAAATTGTTTTTTTATATACACCTTTATTGCACTAAAGTATGTAAGTATTCATTTTACAACCATTTTAAAACAAAATGCAAGTTTGATGATGTACTCTTCTGAGGTTTCAGTATCGTTCAAATTATGATCAATTTCAAAAGCAAGCATGCATCTGAAAAATGTATCAAATCACTAGTTGCCCATTGTTTGCAGATTTTTTTACGGGTTTAAAATAAAAAATAAAAATAAAAATCGGCGGCCATTTAGAATATCTCAAAAATTCTTACTTCTTGCACTGTACGCAATGCTAAAATTCCGACTTTTTGACGATATTTCTATCACTTAAAGTGTCATTGTATCACCATTTTTAACCGTAGCAAGTTCATTTTTTTCTGTGCAAGTTTTAAGTGTTCAATATTGAGAAAATTTTATACAATAAAGTGGAAAATTGTACAATAATGGTAATTTACTAATGATTTATATAAAATAAAGCGCTTTTGGTGTTTTATCCCGCAAAAGGTGAAAAATTAAACAAAAAATAATATAGTAAAATAATATGCACACGGACCCCCATTGTTTTTACTGTTTTAGGAAGATAAACATCGTTTCTTTCGATCTTTTGAATATTGGTAAAAGTTTAATACCATAAGTTTTTTTTTATATATTAATCGTTAAATCTACAATAATGGTGTACAAAATAATCATTTTTTTCTACTACAGAAATGGGGGTAGGGGTAACATAAATTGCATTTCTGAGATGAAAATATAGGTTTAAAAAATTTCGCTTCCATAATTGAGAAAAAAATACCATTTTGATCAATTGTGCAAACATTCATAAATTTCTGATTGCACACTCAAAAGGTATTGTATGAATTTGGTCTCCATACGGTCTAAACGATAAACTTCACCAAAGTCACACATTAGATTGAATTGCTATGCTTATCAATATCTGATCTGATGTTACCTGCATACTCACTAAGGAAGATAACACCCACGTATGTCCTGCTATTTTATGACGCTGACCATTCAAACGCATTTTCTGATACGAATTTTAAATGTTTTGTTCATACAGTATCTTCAGCTTCGGTTTCATTCGAAAGGCGTACGTACTTTGGGAACAATACTTGGGATGTTTGGAAATGTAAGTATGAAAAATACTGATTGTAAAAGGGAAATTAGTTTTGTTTTATGTATCATATTATTGTACAATGATCGTTGCCGAAGCAAACAAATTGGAGTTGCCATGTTAAAATTACTGTCACCGATTAATAGTCACGTACATTTAGCTTATGACGAGTTACTTTCCCCTGGTAATTTTTTGTCGATTTCACTTTTGGTTTAAACAACATTTATTTCATATACCATATATAATAAGTACACATGTTAATAGAAATATTAATAAAATCTCTCACTTTTGCATTTAAAATGATTCCTATTAATAATACAATGACAAATCACCTGTGATGACGTCACAAAACAATGTGAACTCAAAAATGACACCGTCAAAGGTATTTTCAAGGTAATTGGTAAATGTTTTGGCATATGAAAATATATCAATTATTTTCATAACACTAATTAAAAGCAAATCATACTGGCCACTGTGGCTTATGCGCATATTTATATGAACATTTGTTTTGTATTTAATGATTAAGTGTTGACTGCCTCGTCTTTTAGTGGTGATTGATAGCTTGCGTTGCTAAATGTTTTAACAGATTATTTGCGTTTCTAATGACCGTTATAACATGACTTGGTCTCTTAACGCAATATTTAATTTTTTCTTATTTTTATTTTCTTCACTGTCCTTTAACATAGTCAATGAATTGGACAACAAATAAAACAGTGAATCTTTTTGGATAGTAATACTATTTTAATTAAACGTGAATATACGGCAGCTATCGAAGAATTTGAATATTACAGGCGGCCATTTTCTCTGAACCAGAAAAGACACTTTTTATTTATTTCAAATTAACCAGTACTCCTGTCATTTTGGAAATTCACAGTAATTTAGACCAATGTTGATTTCCATTTTGTTAGCCCCTAGCATCACCGATGGATTTTGGATGAACGAAACAGCTGTATAATATACTGTCTTCATTTAATTGAAAACGGTATCTATTGTCTTACGGTCATATTTCATGATACAAGGTGGTCGATTTCTTAGTCCCCGAAGTTTGCAGTAATCTTGACCGCCCAACTATCTCTTTTGGATTGTGGATTTCTTTGGGAGAAGTGACACGGTTCATAACATACAAACCCTACTCATTATTCTCACTTGTCCATTCTTGCAGGTTGCCTATATGGGAATAGCATTATATGCTCCTGGGTTGGCGCTTCAAATTGGTATGTGGCTATCACTTTTTACAGCAGTTTTATTTCAACAGTTATTCCCTCCGCTTGTTTAGTAACCGGAAGTTTGGAAGGAAATTATATCATTGCTGCCTTCACCATTATTTTTGTTCATATCTTTGTATTGGCGGGATCTCTTAATTCCTTATGCATTTCTTCTGGAATGTTGATTCAATATCAATTCATTGTTTAAGATCTTTTCAATAAAATATTTTTTTAAAGTATATACGTTTGTAACAGAATATTTTACTATGTGACATCTTTTTAATAAAATGAATGAAATGATAAATGGCATTGCTTACAAACCTTAATAGGACTTTACTCATAATTCACTTAAATCGCAAGAGCTTCAATGGTATATTAAATAAAATATGTAAGAAACATTTAAAAATTTGTCTTTTCTGTCGTAGTTGCTGGAGTACCTCTATGGCTCTCCATCGTTGTTATCGGGCTTGTTGGCACCATATATACAGCAATTGTAAGTAGTGTTGTGATTTATACAACTATAATAGACATACAAGATTTATATGGTTTTATTAGTTATTAATCTGTCCATTTTAATAAAAAATATTAATAACACGTTCATTTTTTCTAATGATTAAAATTCTTTATTTTCCGCTTTATTCAAGTCTTTACCACTGCTTTGCTTTATATCTCCATATTATGAATATACTCATCTTCTCATTAAAAAAATCTTAAATTAAATACCACGCCTAGTTGCAAGGCCTGCACCCAATGATTTTTAGAATATTTGAAACAGTCAAGATTTGCACACCGATATTGGTGAACTGCATTACATTAAAAAAGCGTCATTACAGAATAGTCATCATATTTGGATTTAACATTGCTTGATCAGATCTACCTGATGTGGTTGTAAAGGAATGATTGTAAGATAATAAGTTCTATTGTTTCAGGGAGGAATCAAAAGTGTAGTGTGGACGGATGTGTTCCAGTTTGTTATAATTGTTATTGGACTGGCAGCGGTTGTCATAAAGGTGATGTTACGTACCCATATAGTTCATATCTTATTTTTAACGAGTGTATGATTAGTAACATCACCCATTAAATGGCTTTTCTGATTATGTTTTGTCCCAGTTTACATTAATGTTATGTAATTACACTTGCGTGTCATTTGCTGACATTGTTCCGAACGGTGTGTACTAGTGTACTATAAACATGTTGATTAAACTCTCCTATTCATATTTAATTTCTTACGTATCAGTAAAGCGAAGTCACCAATTCCCGTTCATTAGTCAAGATAAGTTTGGGAGTATATTATTATACAATGATGGACTTTCGTCCTGGTGAATATGATGTGATATGAACCTGAAAAAGTAATATTGACCGAGGCGAACCCTAATTGTTTTAGCATATGCTTCGACAATAATGTTTTGTAGTTAACCTTTACTGGAACGAGCCTCCATGTAAAATTAGGCCATGGTTGAATCCAACAGTTCGGCATCGATCGTGGCTTTTGAAAACATCGTCAAGGTTCTTTCCCTTAAGATAAGACTGAGTGTTCGGTAGCCATTTTGTATTAACTGCATCTTTATCTTCGGGTAGTTTTTTTTGAAGTTTTCAGATGTAAAGGAGGCGAAGCGTTCGTCAGCAGCCATCTTCTGTTATCGTCTGACAGATTGCGTTACGGTCTAGCTGCGCATGCGTTACGACAGGTTGTGGTGTATTTCCATAAAGGCTATATTTAGAAATCGTTATTAAGCGGATTACCAGTCTACATGAGCTTTTGAGGACTGGTCGCGTGTATACGATCCGACCAATGTGTTTGCGAGAAGTTTTCAAGCATATGATTATGACATTTAATAATTTTTCATTCATCTTGTTGATTTCTCTGAATCAATGCAACCCCTTTAAAGCGTTTATCAGAAGATTGTCGTTGTGTCAGAAGATTGCAACATTAAAATATTTGCCGAAGTAACGGTACCAGAGCCTGATTTGAATAATCTCAAGACGTCGTTCTGGTGCATGTCATCTTAATCCTGTAAATCGTTTAGTGGCAACTAACTGTTTTTGAAGCAGCATTGTTCAAAGGCGAACGTTCTTTCTCTCCGGCTTATCTCTGATTCCTCGCTTTAGCCTGTCATACAAATTAGTATGATAGGCAGAACATTTCTGTTACGTTGCTTTTTAATTTTCTTGGAAAGCGATGCTCTGCTCGACAAATCTTCATTTCGCTGAATTCAAAAAGAATCCGAAAAGGCACATACTGTATACCTTATGTTGTCGGTATATTCTGATGCCCAAAATCAAGCTTTATATTTTTCCTCTTCTGAAGCACATTGCCCAGTGTTCAAGTAATACTATATTAACTCGGGGAAAAGGTTGGGTTTATAGGTTTAACGTCCTTTTAACATTAAATGTCACTGAAAAAGTCGTATCGCCATACACAAAATATCCTTAGAAAAGATGAACTATATTTTTCTTTTATTATTGGATCTTATGTTCATTCTTCATTGCAACCTTTTATCAAAAAAATGGTTACCGATATGATCTCTTTCTCTATTGCAAGAAGTATGTTTAGAGTAAGTTTTATTGTGATGTTTTATACGAAAATGTACCAGTACATACTACTGCTGTGTCGGTGATAAGTAGCGTGATGGTGAAATACCATTTTTTGTAACAGTGACCTTGAACTTTGAATGATGACGCCTTTATTGAGATTTTCTAAGGTATGTCCAAGGCTTACATATATTTGAGGTTTTGTAAAGACATTTAGCCGTTAGTGTGACGAATGATACAAAAGATCGTTAGGTAAAAATTGTGAACATTAGTATTTTCAATCGATTTGCATAACTCGTAGCTGATAAAACGCCCTAAGTAAAAATGTATAAACGACTTCTAAAATTTAAGAGCAGTTTTTGAATACAACACTGGGGAAAACTAACGTTTAGACGAGTATTTTCTATAAGATTCAAACAATTAAGACATGTTTCCTGTGAAGACTTCGCAAATAGGTGTTGAAACAGCGTCCTCAATTACATTTTTGTATTGACACTTTTTAAATCAAAAATAAATTCAACTATAAAATATTTATCATGTATTCTTTTGGCCCTGACTGCTGCTGATGCTGCTGTATTTTTTGATAAATAATGTGCTATTTATTTTTTTATTTTTCATAAGGGCAGCATCCTCATGTGGACACATTACTCGATGTTCGAGATTGCGACAGAGGGAGGACGACTTGAGTTTCTTAAGTATTCTTTGCTTTTTAGTTATTACAAATTCAATAAACAGTGCATGTTATATGCATTTGATATTTCCGTCATTTCCTGATTAGCGATTCCTTCTTGACAAAAGTGATTGTTTCATTCTTTTTTAAATACCCCAAAAATGATAGCTTCACTAGTGAACAATGACGAGGATTAATGTGTAAGAATGATTTTGCAAAGTATTGATCAGTCTAGAGGAGATTAAGTTGCGACCAATTTGGTCACTCTAGATTCTGGTATGAAGAGGATATACATTTGATATCAGCTAAACTTAGCTTGTGATATTATCAACTTGTAGTCTATCGTACCCTATCTAGTAAATACACCATCTGAAGGATAACCATTCGATGGGGAGATAGGTTATCTATTTTGTAAGTTTTTAAGAAGTTGAAATAAGTAATTAGGCAGCACTATCATCTTAAATTCCTGTCGTTTTCCTTAAAAAAGTAATTCCTATATAGTTTATTATTGATTTTTGACTAAAGTCCGAGTGCTTACAAGACACAAATAATGTTCTTATTGTCAGATCTCGCAGATTGTTGTTAGTTATAGTTTAGTATTGTTTCATTTACAGTTTTGACCCGGACCCTAGAACCCGCCACACGATGTGGGTTTTTTGCATAGGCCTTCCATTTACTTTCATACCAAATTGGTGTGACCAGGCCGGTGTCCAGAGGGTCTCCTCTCTCCGAAGTCTCAAGGCTGCTAAAAGATTAACATTATTTGAATACAACAAGGGACAATGAATAAACGGACCTTTTGTACAAAGATATTCTGACCAAAATAAATAAATCATTTAAGTTTATAAAAGAATTGTTTCATAGTTGTTCTAAAATCATTTTTTTTTTTATCTTAATTAGGGTGTTTTGGCTTCTGGGTCCTATTACAGCTGTCAACAACGTGATACTGGGATATTTGGGAATCCTCCTATACTCGTACTACAACACTATGAAATGTGATCCAGTTCAAGCCGGATTCATTACCAATTTTAATCAGGTACCATTCACAATGTTCAAATTTATATTCGAATTATGTTTTAGTAACCTGTCTATAACAGTGCCTTGTATTTTAAACTGATGTGTTAATACTGGAACTGATATTTGTTTATATTAGAAGCTGCTGACGTATTTTGCATTTTAAGTTAATGGTGTATTTTGTATTTGCAGCTGATGCCGTATTTCGTGCTCGATGTTATGCGGTCACTGCCCGGTTTATCTGGTATATTCATCAGCTGTTTGTTTAGTGGCGCTCTCAGGTAATTGTATAATATATATAATGTGAACAGTAATTGTAACGAAAATGCATCAAACTGTCCAAGGGTTATTATAAATAAACATATCCAATTGTTATGAAATTGACACTTTGAATCTATCCAATTCATCGCCAGCTTAAGGATGTACACACCTCTGAGAAGTCAAAAATTTCCTGTATTAAACTTTTTTTTTCTCATATCGATTTTTAGGAAAAAGGGGTTAATGGCATAGTAGGAAATGCAAAAAAACTATATGTCCGTGAGCTCGTTTTTGTGCTATAATCGGTCAAAGATACCAATTTAACACAACATGTCATTTTAGGTGATTTTTTTGTTTTTGACCATTTGCGGAACAAATTCATACAATTTCTTCCAATTGTGTTATCAGATATGTATGAATGTTTGTAGAATTGATAAAAAAATTATTTTCTTTTAAATTATGGAAGTAAAATTTCTTTATCTTATTCTTTTAACTCAGAAATCCGATTTTAGTTACCCCTACCCCCTATTTTTCAATGAAAAAATAGTCATTTTATTACCATTTTTTGCAGATTAAACGCTTGATATATAAAGTTCTGGTATTAAACTATTTTTAATATTGAATGAATTTAAAGAAAATGTGTTTCTCTTTCTAAAACATCCACAAAAATGGGGGGTCGGTGTGCTTCTTTTTTGTCCCATTATCATTTGTGTTATTTTTCACCTTTTTCGGGGTCAAAAATAAAAATTGCTTCAGTTACACTAAATATGTAAAAAAAAAAGAAATCCAGTTTGTTGCAAACTATTTTATCATATTAAACATTATAAAGCTGTAAAGCAAAATTGAACCTGCTATAATTAAAAATGGCGACACAATGACAACTTAAGTGATCAATCTAGTGTAAAAAAAAGGTGAACTTTTTGCCTTTTTTGAAGCCCAAGAAATACACATTAATACACATTTTCAAAATGTCCGCCGAATTGGTATTTATTTTAAATTCTTGTAAAAAAAGTTCTACAAACAACAGACATCTAGTTTTTTGACATATTTTTCAGATGCGTGTTTGCTTATAAACTTGATCATAATTTGTTAAATATTACAAAAAACTGTTACACCAGATCAAAACGAGACTTGAACGTGATTGAAACCTCAGAAGAGTACATCCTTAAAGTGTACCCTGAACAAAAATAGAAATGAAGATCTATATATGATGCAAAAACAAAATTGCCAAATCCGCATAAAGATTGGTTAACCCAATGCCAACATATTGTTGTGTAAAGTGTGGGAATTAAAAGAGATTTGAGGAATCAGATTATGCTGAAAATAACATTATGTAGATTATATCCAGCCATATAAAATTTGCCATTTTCAACAGTGTGTTGAAATGAAACCAAACTTACGACTCTGTTGAGGATAACACAGACTAATATAATTACCTGTCCAAGTTCTGAGCACTAATGAGAAATTGGTCGAATACACGAATTTGAGGGAAATATTTGTATTACTACTCACATTTTGCTAAGGATCACCTATATTTTGAACAAAAAATCAAAATGTTAAAAAGGATATATATTTTTCTTCCGTACTGTTTTGGGCGAATATGTTAGCCTTCTAAATCGTCCTGTGTGGGTGTTCAGTCACCCATAAAAGCGCGTGCACGCTTTTCCACGTTTACACCTATTTCAAAAACTAAGCTAGGCTAAGAAAGGCGTTGTTCAAAATGTTAAGGAAATCAATTTCATGAATATTCTTTGCGTGTTTTTGTTTTAATATGGCAAACCAGACAGCGGTTAAATGACGGTGAAATGAATAGGGGCATCGTAATGCTGCAAGCTAGCATGTCTCAACGTCAGGTTGCAGCAGACCTTAGGGTGTCTCAAAGTGTGGTGGCAAGAATGTGGAATCGTTTCCAAACAAACTAACGGAAACCCTTCCAGACGTCATGCTGGAGGTCGTTCTAGAGCTACAACGCAGCGTCACAGGTTCCAGACTGCCACAGCTTTACGAAATGATCCCCTAAGAGCTTCTGGTACCCGGTTACCCACTCAGACAGTTAGAAACCGTCTTCATGATGCTGGATTAAGGTCACGTAGACCAGCAATACGAGTTCACTTAACTGCCCGCCATGTTAGGGACCGATTAGATTGGGCCCAAGCTCACAGCGCTTGCACTCTTCATGGGAACCGGTTCCTTTTACTGACGAGTCCAGATTCTGTCTTGACTTCACCGACAGGTGCGTTAGAGTACGGAGACAACATGGGGAGAGTTTCCAGGCAGGTAATGTTGTGGAACATGACCGATATGGCGGAGGTTCAGTGATGGTGTGGGGAGGCATAAACCTTCGTGGGAAAACTGACCTCCATGTCTTCCATAATGGTACCGTTACGGCCCGGATTTACTGCGATGAAATCCTTGATGCCTATGCCAGACCCTACGTTGGCGCTATCGGCCCTGATTTCATTCTTATGGACGATAACGCTAGGCCACCTAGAGCAAGGGTGACTAAGCAGTATATACAGCATGGATTGGCCAGCCCGGATCTTAATCCCATCGAGCATGTGTGGGACATACTGCAGACAGCTCTCTCTGCCAGAAATGTTCAGCCAAGAACGCTCCAGGAGCTGGGAACAGCTTTGGTACCTGAGTGGAACGCTATTCCACAAAACCGGATACGCGATCTCATTCGGGGCATGCGCAGACGTTGTGAAGCTTAAATTGATGCTTTTGGGCGTTAAAATCGATATTAAAACAGTTTCTGCTTATTTAGGATGAGTTTTGTTCATTTTCAGTTTTTTAGTGAATACCTCGTTGTTACCAATTTTAAGGGTAACCCTTTTCCTGTGGCTCCAACTGTAATTACGATTTTTGGAATAAAACCAAATTAGATATTTATTTCAGATATACCCAAAAATAAAAGTGATCCTTAGCAAAATGTGAGTAGTATATATATAACAGCAATGCACTCCATGTTGTTGATCAACAATGTTTATTCTTTAATTTTAGCTTGAAAGCCAGTTTGCAATCACTTTCTTTACTGTACAATGAGAGCTGATGCCATCATATTTTCGTCTTCAATACTTTTGAATGGCAATACAATTTGTATTGCATATTTCAAATATTCACGCTTACCTACTGTATAATCACACATTGACGACATTGTGTCTTCTATATGTTAAGTCGACGAATAAACAGCAAAATAATGACAGTTACACATTTAATTGTATGCAACACTTATATATGCAGTGCTAAATTACACTTATCTCGAAAATAATACTTATCTCGAAAATATAACTAAATTATGAGATTGTAAATAAACAATTTTTCTCCATATAAGATACATAAGTCATAACATTTTAGTTCAATAATGAACCGGGGTTCGATTCCCCGATCAGTCGTGAAAAGGTATGGGGTTAACTGCCCGAACACGTGGGTTTTCTCCAGGTACTCCGGTTTCCTCCCACATTTAAACCCTCCGCGCGCTAACATCCGAGCCAACGAGAGTGATTAATATAAGTTGAAATAACTTGTTTCATAATTGTTGTAAACCAAATAAAGTTTATATTTAATAATGAAAATGATCTCGATCCACTCCATTAGCCTTCTTGAGTATGGAACTTATGTACAGATTAAATACACTTAACACACCTGTGTCCAGTGCTGAAAACAGGAGGCCCAAGACAAACCTTTAAACCTGTGTCCAGGTAAGACATCAAAGGAATGTCAGCAGGTGGGCAAGGGGTACCTGAAGTTAGTGCGTAGATTGGTGAAGATTACGTGCCTTCCAATTTCCATTTGACAACAATGTCCACGGGCTGGATAACGGGGAACAGAATAAGGAACAATCTCGAGGAAAATATGCATAAATAAAACGCGTAAGCACTGTCACAGAGTCACATTATATGCAAGTCACAATCAGTAAAACTGCATCATCCATGCTGGACCATGTTATGTACATGATATATCTAAACAGGTGGTTCAATGATAAATTACTCGAATTTGTGAGACTTGAACACGCTGATTCATCAGAGTAGTGAAACGGATAGGTTCTCCTTTTGCAAGATTCTAAAAAAATGGGGTGTACATTTATTATGTATTACAAATGAAATATGTGTATTTGTCACTTTCCGGATGGATGAACGAGCTGTATTAACAAGCCGCGTCAAGTTGTATATCGGTTTAAACTTATACTTTGATATTTGGCTTGTAGGAAATTCACAGTTCTTGTTATTGTTCAATTGTACGTTCAAAGTATTTCAGTTAATTGTATTTCTTTCAGCACGATTTCATCTGGAATCAACGCATTATCTGCCAACAGTGTCGTAGATATTCTGGGGGACTGCCTAAACAAATCAAATATAATTTCACACTCAGTTGCAGCAAAAGTTTTTGGTGAGTAGTACTTGTTCGCATATACATGTATTTAGACAATTGACAAACAAATCTTTTTGATCTAAAAAGAAGTGATGCAATATTGAACTAATATCACAAGATGGGTTATAACTTTTGATCTATTTACAATTATGAAGTCATCCTCGATACTCGATGGGTCACGTTCACTCACACTCTCAGCACCCCGGGAGTAAACAATTCAAACTTCAGTCATACATAAATGTAAAATATCGCAGCTGCTGAACGGTTCAAACTAGATAACAATGGGGGAAAGCCCATAACAATAGCAACATCAGCAGCATTCCTACGTGCTTTATTTTGGTGAGGTAAACCTTTTTTCAATGTCTCCCTGTAGTAGGATATTGTAGAGCACCCTTCCATTGGCGCACTATAAAATGACAGTGACTGTGGTAAATGAGCAATGTGTCTCGACAAATCGAATCATTGACTTTATACATTAGATATATTAATTGTAAATACATTTTTCCTTCTGTAGTATTCGCCTATGGGCTGGTAGCCATCGGATTAGCGTATGCAATCAACTCCATGTCTGGATCCGTCGTACAGGTACACTGAAATTGCCTTATATTTAGAGCTAGATAATTTAAATTCAAATAAAGTGTGGGGGTTTTGGTGTTGGTGTCGCTACACTGTCCGGGTAATGACATTTCAATGATGCATTGATTGACCCCCACACTTTTAAAACGTCGTTTAACTGTTTCCTTAGTTGTTTCGAGGACGGAAACCCTAAACTTAATATATTTTGAAAGATTTCTCCTTTTGCAAGAATTGTTTTACTTGTGATATATGTAAAGTATTATTGTGATAAAGTGATACAACTTACATATGCTAGGGTTCTGGTGATACTATTTGCAAAGCTCTTCCTGATAGTCTTTCCGTGCAGTTCAGGGAATATCTATAGCAATCTAAAATAGGTGCAATTTACAAAAATGTTTTAAAAGAAAGACCCAAAATGTTTTCTGTAGGGGTTTCCCCCCATTATAACAATACAATCAACTTAAGATGGTGATAGTATACCGATAAATAAGCAACGTAAATATCAGCTTTACAATTGTCCGACAGATGTCCCTATCAGCTGCTGGGGCCTGTGGCGGACCGTTAGCTGGACTCTTTTTCCTTGGAGGAATGGTACCTAAAGCAAATTGGGTCGTAAGTATAACTTGAATGTAAGAATAAAGTAGGTTTGGAAATGTCCGTAGCGTTAAAACTACACAAGTCCAAATCCCAATAAGAGAATTGAACAGTCATGAACAAGTTCAATGTGATACATGATGTACAATTACTCTATTTAAAATGTGTAGTTGAAAAGATTAACCCGTTAATTGAAAAAAAGAGAAGATATTGAGTGGTTATTGTTTTCATCCCCAAAATGACAATATACAGGTCAGGTCAAACATGCAAGTTATTTTTATGAGGTGTCAATGCCGTTTAGGAATGTTGAAAATTATGCACTTAATAACCCGCTTTTTTTCTCATGATAAATTCACATTTTACTTGGGGGATTATCAAACGACTCCGTGTGTCAGCTTTCAGCATTAAGGAATAGTGTCATAAGCGGGGAATGTATCATTTTACATTGCACTTCTCATGAATTTCGGATGAATCAAGACTCGAATCTGCCTTTAAAGGTTTTTATTTGTACTTAAAAAGTCACCACTGCATAGATGCGGCCATTTATTTGTATTTTTTGTCGTTTAATTTCAGGGAGCTGTTATAGGCAGTGTGACGGCTCTTGTGTTCAACATTTGGATGTCAGTAGGGTCACAATTGTACGGAGCAAAAACGGTAAAATTAGTCCAGAACCCTACAAGTGGATGTTACCCCAATAACTTTATGGTTACAATGAACGAGTCAGCGTCATTGATGTACAATTATAACACTACAATATATACCACTCCGTATGATGTTACCGGACACTCAAGCATGTCACCGAACAATCCTGTCACGTAAGAACTTACAGTGTAGTTCATTAAGCATAACATCACCCTCTTCTCTCAAAAAGGTTATGTAATATTTAACATATTATAATTTTAGTTGTATTTGAATTATCTCCTGTAACTAAATCTTAATTTTTTTCTTCTTCTCATAATTAAGAATAACTTGTAATCAGTGTTTATATTTATACATTAATTACCATATGGCAATCAACTGATTGATTAACTAAGTCAGAATCAGTAGTCACATTATGGTTTTTTTCGTATTCTCCAAAACTTGACACATAAAAATAAGATGCTTATTCACTACACTTGTAGTCCTGAGGAAGTTTTTTTCCTGTACAATGTGTCCTATACCTGGTACGGATTTATCGGATTCTTCCTTACCCTGATTATTGGCACAGTCGTCAGTTTGTGTACAGGTATGCAGTATACTCTCTAAAAGAGATAATGTTTCATTGCTTCATTATATTTTTTATGAAGCTTACTTTAACATTAACAGATAAATAACATGAAATTTAAACAAATATCAGAAACAGATATACTGCCTGTTAATCGGCATTCGTTCGTCTACCTCACCCTTCGTCTTTTTCATATTAAACCTGTTTGTTTGTGGGAGTTTAAATATATAAACAAAAATCCAAAATGAAGCAAAACAGTTGTACCAAATGTTCCTTTTGAAAACCAATATTGCGACCTTTTAAAAAAACCTTTTGACACTCACCTTCTGTCATCAAGCTATAGTAAGCAAGCCAATACCTTTGTAATAGTAACTCGTCACTGCAAAATAGAAATTGTTCTAAACCTATTGTCTAGTTTTTCTACGGATCAGTTTCAGGACATTTTGTCTTAGTTTTCAAACGAGCCAATTTAGAAGTAAGTAAGGTTTATCGGATCATCGTAACTCTATTGTTAAACATGTTCTGGTTACCTTACAGGTGGTGATCGCGGCCAGCCTGTGGAAGCCCGTCTTATCTTCCCCATCTGTAGAAAGATATGTGGTGTGAAATCTAAACATAATTATGATGCGTCTGATACGGAAGACCAGGTAAAACTTTCTCCGACAAGAGACATTTTCCCATAAATGAATTTCTTATTTTCAGGTAGAGGGTTCCAGCGCTCTATGCTTTAGATTCATAAATGTCCGGGTATTTGTTGCTTGACAATTTTCTATAGCAAAATTCCATACACAAAAGAATCATTTTTTATTTTTATTTCCATTTTCACACAAACATATTGTAATGTACAATCGATATTGCTTGCATATAAACATATACGATGCGGTGGAATTCATATTTTTCAAAATAATAAAAGCCGGTGCAAAATATGGCACAGGAAAGGTTTGACACTAAATGGATCTCATGTCGTCCCTCGTTTGTTGTTGGGTTCGTTGAGTTTGATGTTTATTTCATTTGGTTTAGTTTGTTGTATTCTCAGTTGCTGAAGTTGACGTCGATTTCTGTTTTTCCTGTGGTGATGCTAAGACATCTGTTTCTTTCTATAACGCACCACATATCATATATAGAAATATTAATCGATAAGGAAACACACCTTAAACGCTTGTACATTGATACTCATTGAGTGCTTTAATCGTATACTTACACTTCTTGTTATCATAAATACAATTAAAATATATGATTGTTTTGAGTTGTAAGATATCCATACAACCACGCCTGGACCACCCATTTGTCTCCAGACGAAAGACGACGATGGTGCATCTCCGTTATACAATAATGTAGCAATTTCATTTATCTCGTTTTATCTTCGAAAATATTTTTGATATACGACTGAACTTGATGTTGTACACATGGTATTACAATTTGTACACCGTTCACCGTGTTTAACCCATATTTAGAACACCTGACGTTTGCCATCTATCTTTGTGATTGTCATACTGCAAAGAAAAATGTCGCACGGTGATTGGTCGAATTGCCAAGGTACCTGAAGCTATGTTAGTATCCTTGCCGGGGTACATAAGAGCACGCGCGCCTGTTGTAAGGGAGATAACTCGCAGATTCGAATCGAACACACCGGAGAACGTTCGTCTGCTAATGTCAACAATGAACAAAATGGCGAAACGGTTTGCAAGCCACACGGAGAGTGAAATTGAGACAAAACGGGCGTCACTTATACCTACAAACACAAAGAAAAGTAACAATTCAGCAAGCAAAACATTAAGAGCATACTTAAGCGAAAAGGAGCAAGACACAGATTTTGAGGACTTCTCGAAGCCAAGATTAGACGAGGCATTGGGTCATTTTTATCTCGATGCAAGGAAACAGGATGGGTGTCTTTACAAGACGACAACGCTTGAACATTGCTTTGCAGTATGACAAATTCGTTATACAGGTCTTTGGCTCAGGGTACATAAGGTCCTGACAGCGAACATGAGACCATGTACCCTGCCAAATACCTGTATAACTAATAATGTCCATGTCCTTCGTTCGTTAATAATTCATATTTGTTATATGTTCTTCAGAACCACAAGGACATGGATCCTGGTTTTTGACCAGTACGTAGCAAAGATATAGAGTTTTGATTTTTTTATGATTTAATGATATTTACTTTCATTCAAGGTCACACTGATATAACATTCCAAAACAACTTTATTTAAGAGACTAAAGCCATGAAAGCGTTGTTAAAAATACTAAAGTCATGATAATATAATGATGTCTCAAAACACATATTTTTAGGTGGCATCAGGCGACCAGTTTCGGACTCGTAAAGTGAACTTTGAAAAATAAATTAATCAGAGCAAAAGTAAACAGCAATGAGCTTTGCGTTTTTATGTTTCGTATTTAATTTTAACTTAGAAGTGAATTTACAATCACTTCTCTCTACAGTGACTACTTATTTAATCCTGCCGTCGTCGTTGAACGACGCCATTACACGACCAGTTGCTGTGCCTGTCTATTTATAGCACATTTTGTATATTCAGTGATACCGCTACGGTTAAAAAAAGGAAATTTATCGTAAGAAATTGTTTTCAAAATTATTTCGAGGTTTTTAGTTGCTACATTTGTTAGTTTAAATACTACATATCACAATCTACGCAGAACAAACAGGAAGTTTCCTAGGTCACCTTATTACATTTACCGCTTTCCCGACAAACCATGATTATTGGTGTGGTGATTTAAAAGGTCTATCCTGTCATTACTTATGTGAAATCTTGTAGAATGCGGATTAAGTCAATTTTATGAAAACATATTTTCACGCTTTTGCTATTTCTAGTAACATAACTAGTCACTCAATGGTCAGGTATTAAGCTGGTTCAGATCACACTAGGCCAGAGTCACGCTTGGTGCATCTGTCAATCACGTCCATCACGTGGACAAAATAACACAGATGATATTTTATCAAGTGTGTACATATGTGTAGCTTGAACAGTCCTCCGGCTTTACAAAAGATTTCACACGTAATGCACTTACTTGTTTCGATTGTTTCATATATTTCTTAAAAAAAAGGGTTAAATTAGACAGTGTATAAGACAGCAGCATAAATATTTTCATATTATTGATTCAAACGATAGGATAACTTTTTTCTGCTTTAAATATAAATATATATATATATATTGATGATAAATAACCTTATTATTTATTGATATGTAGTCTATAACAGAATGCAATAGTCTAACACTATCAAGGCATATTAGTTGTAAGTCTAGTACATCCAATTTCATCATTTTGTGCCCTTGACAACTCCTTAGGCTGTTTGAAGGTAATACACATTCCCATGACTCCACTACATGTAGCAGGTGCCCCATCCTCTACCATAGTACCCCTTGGAAAATGAAAAACATATTTGCAGATGTATCAGTCAAAGTAATTATTGTCTATTATGACATGTGTATATTTACAGATAAAGTTCCAATATTTCCCCTTATCATAACTATTTTCATCAGATAAAGCAAACACAAACTACAAGCAGGATAGGAACCTGCCTCTGCTCATTCTCTTGATAATAAATGACAACAAAGGCAGCTTGAGCGATCAGAGACAACTTTTTTTTTTTTAGTATTTATGACATTGCCCTTTGACCGATAACACATATACTAAAAAGAATTAAGATTTCTTCGTGGTATCTAAAAGCCGAATACCTATGAAAATGCAAAAATTCAGAAAATACGACCTACTGAATGACGCAAGGCGAGGGAATTTTCTATGATTGACCCGAGACGAAGTTATACCCTCTGATTGACCCGAGGCGACGTTATAACCTCTGATTAATCCGAGGCAAACCCATACCGTCTCAGTGACATGTGGTTAAGTGTTACGCTCTGATTGACCCGAGGCAAAGTTATACCTTCACATTAACCCAAGGCGAAGTTATACTCTCTGAGTGACCCGAGGCGAAGTTATACGCTCTGACTGACCCAAGGCGACGCTATATCCTCTTATTGACCCGAGGCGACGCTATACCCTCTGATTAACCCGAGGTAAAGCTATACCCTATTAATGACCCGAAGTTAATTAAGTGATACGCTCTGATCGATCGAGGCAATGTTTCTACCCCTGATTGGCCCGAGGCAAAGGTATACCGTCTGACTGACCCGAGGCGAGGTTATACTCATCAAGTGACCCGCGGCGACGATATACCCTCTGATTGACACGAGCAGAAGTAATTATCACTAATTCACCTGCGGAAAACCTATACTTTCTTTGTGACCCAAGGTTAAGTCTTACACTTTGATTAACCTGCGGAGAAATCATATCCTCTGAGTGACCCCAAAGGCAATTGATATCCTCCGAGTGACCCCAGACAAAGTGTTAATCCTCTCAATACCCGAAGTAATACCCTTCAAGTGACCAGAGGTTAAGTAATACCCCCTGCGTGACCCTAAGCACTATCATCCACTAATGAGTGAATATTTTCGTAATGTTTATACCACCAATTGTCCTCACCAATGGCATGCCTACCAATGCATAAAGATAGCATTTAAACAGATTTTTTGTATCTATGTATATATGTACATGCCAATTCGCTGGTAAAGTAAAATCAAAGTGCCGAGGGCACTCAGGGATACTGTGTATGAAGGATTTAAATAATGGAATAAAGGAGGTGGTATATCAGTACAGAATGGCAGTAAATAATAAAGAACACGTTGTTGAGTAAGGGTCATCATAGCCCATCCCTTAATCATAAGTATTGCTAAAACAATTAAAACTTATCAGATATTATGGTCCTTAATTAGTGTTTCAAATCGATGGAAATCCTTCAAGGAATGAAGCTGCTACAGCGCAGAAAATGATCTTCAAAAAAAATAGTAACATGACCAGACAACCCTGCAAACCACAATTGTCCCGTAAGATTATGGGAAAGTTTACGACTAAAAAAAAAAAAAAGGGGGGGGGGGGGATATAGATAGATGCTCACTGAAAAAACTCGCCTTTTCGTAAAATTTAAAAAAAAACACTTTGATTTATTGATCGTTTTCATATGTATTTCATCATTTTATAGCATTAATCATATCATGAAATAATCAACATAGCATTTGAAGATCTTCCGTGGAAGAAGAAAGTCTGTTGTTTGGTTTTGATTTTCCCAGGCTTGGCGAGGACCGCTATGAATGCTGTACACAGCATCAATAAAAATATTGACCAATAGTTAGATGATATTCCTACTATGATAAATCAATACTAGCGAGAGCAAAATATATCACCGCATTTACTGTCATAATTATTTTATGAATAAACATGTAACATACCTTATTGATATATTTATGTATGTCATAAATAAAATGTTACCTATACAAATGAAATATTTTCTCTTGCTACTTTTTTTTGTGTCTGAGCATTGTGAAACATCCATAGTTAGAGAAAGATGGGCTTAACATTTGTTCCCGTCCCTAGTCCGCACATCGCTGACTACGTCGTTATAGTCGTTTTTCTATGTATCTGTATGTCGATCGGTGCTTACTATGGATATCAAACTAACAACGATCCACGACTGTGTCAGCTGTTACTCTCATCGGTATCCCAGCCGAGATTTATGACTATGGAATTCGCGGGTTGTACGTTGCCGTCAGCTACATTTTGTCTGTTGTGATAGCAAATACTACCGTCGTTCCTCTACTGTACCCACTGCGACTCACCAGTACATACGAGGTGAGTATACAGGACATTTTGGCATCGTGAAGTGTCCATGCTATCACAAAAATATTTATATTGTAGATGAAATCAAGGTAATATCAGGTCACCATGTTGAAGCTTCAACCAGGGAGTTCATTTGAAAGCTTTAGAAAGGTAGACGTTATAGATAGTTGGAAGCTACAGATAGGCAAGACAGAATTTCATTTTAAGTTTTTTTTGTCAGTCCAGGGGTCAAGAACAAATTATCAAAATACCCACCAATAAAGATCCCGTTTCGTTTGACAGGAACATAAAGTACGTGTTTTTGTTTTTGCTTTGTTCACACAGTATCTTCAACTCCGGTTTCGTTCAAAAGGCGTACGCCCTTTGGGAACAATGATTGGGATGCTTCAGACGGTACGTATGACAGATACTTAACATGCCAGGGAAATAGTGTGTGCTTTGAAGTGTATACTCTTATTAGATACTGGTTTACTGAGAATGTTTGCATGTCTCTGACAGTAGTACATGATCTGGAAAACGAACATTCAATCATCCGAATATTCAGATAGAATTCCAGAATGCAAATATTTGTTTTAAAATTTGTATGTTTCAAAGCAAGTTTTGATTTCCATTTCCATTCTTTTCACGACATCTGCAATCGTTTCAATCTTCCCTTTTAAGAATGCAGACGTCACTATTTGTTTCTTTGTTTCTCTTTTAAATGTGTTTATGGGCTATTTGACTGCATTTGACCTCTAGTAAAAATTGGTATTTTAGCTCCAAGACAATTCTTGCAGTCCTCTACACTTTTGCAATTTTTTTTGTCCGCATAGTAGAATAAATATCAAGAAATTCAGCATTTCTCATCGTGCAACTCGAGTTTTTAACAGACATTCTCGCGAACTGGACTGTATATTTGAATGTACATTGTCAACTTATTTGTCTCGCTTAAAGGATGCATGTTTTATTTTCCCCTTATTAATATGCAATGTATACTACATTGTTATCTATCTTATGTAGTACATGTATGTCTGTATCTGTGATATCTTACTATATTATTGTTAATATTGCTATCAATTCTGTAATTGAACCCTCGGGTCCGTTGAATGGAAATAAAAAATAAGGGGTAACTATTTATGTACAGGTAGAAATTTGGCTACTTTTCAAGTATTTGTGATTGCATTTTATAAAGTCTCTTGCGCTTTGAATACATCAGGGATGTATTGGAAAATTGTTATGCGGTAGGTAAAAAAAATGGCTATTGTATCACGATACACCTCAGAGGGAACTTTGTAATAAAAATTAATTAGAAGAAACTAAGAACCGAGAATGCACATATATTTCTTTTATTTCCTCTGATAAATTGAAGATATTTCTTTATTGACTCTTTTATATTTTTCTGTTTTCTAAATGACAGGATAATTGGATTATAATATATACATTTTATGTTATTTTGTTAATATCCCTATTCAAGGAACAAATGTCATTTATCACATTTAATCTTTTTTATGCTATAAATCTCCATCACGATCATCCAATCACGACTGAAGCTAGTTTTTTTGGATAAATATACTTCAAGAACAACAAAGACTAAAATATGTCCAGTAAATGTTATTTCATTAAATGACGAATAACATGGCAGACATGGATAACAACAATGTCAACCATGTTACATAAACAATATCTTAAATATATATTAAAAAAAAGTGGAGCACGAGAATACGCCTGGGTGGGATGGTGGGACAAAGAAATTCCGAGCAATTATTTCACCTTGTAAATTTTATGTTGATATCACCTGAAGTTAATCTGGATATCTGATTGGCTGATTGCCTTGACATAATTAGTATGGGTGTGCTTGATTTACTTTGACCCTGATTCTTTCAGCTTCACATCATACTCGTAATTATATAGACAAATTAAAACATATAATATTCCGATGTACAGCATAAATGTATTTATTGGTATAAATTGTATTTATGCTATAAATCTCCATCACGATCATCCGATCAAGACTGAAGCTAGTGTTTTGGATAAATATACATCAAGAACAACAAAGAATAAAATATGTCCAGTAAATGTCACTTTATTAAATGACGAATAACATGACAGACATGGATAACAACAATGTCAACCATGTTGCATAAACATATTTATAAACATAAACAATATCTTAAATATATATCAAAAAGGTGGAGCACGATAATACGCCATTAGACTTATTCCATCATACACTTAATTTGCAAAAACAATGTTTAACTGCTCTAAAGAAGCATTTATATTGACATATATATGCCATTTCTCTGTGTTTTAGTTGCTGGAATACCTCTGTGGCTCTCTATCGTTGTTATCGGTCTTGTTTGTACCATATACACAGCAATCGTAAGTACGACTGCAATCGTTACAAATGTTTATCCGATCAAATCAATGCCCTGGGATTTTTTCATATATTTCATTAAGTCTTTTATGTTTTGCGTTTTTCCCATATAATCACTACTTCAATAATAGTCTTTTTACCTTATAAAATCACGATAGAATGGACATATCTCGACTAGTGGCAAAGGCTGCTTCCAATGAGTTTTAATGTCTTATTTGGAAACAATTTTATGTAATGTTCATCATTCATTTTTCTTAAAATTCCTTGAAAACGGTCACATGTATATTTAAGTCTTCAACAGTTAACATGTTTAACTAAAACAATAAGATAATAAAAAAAAGATCAAATAAGAACCAAACAATGTGATATATATTTACGAATATTATGAATTATACCGTCAATAATCCAACAAAGATATACTATCAAACATAACTTTTGTTAACCTTAACAATGTTGTAAAAAATAATTGAGGTATCCGCACAGATATTGATCGAACTTCTCATGATAATCAAAACTTTTTATTTATGGAAGGGGATCACCGCCATAATTATTTTTTATAGAATTAGTTACTTCTGGTTTTGAATCTAATTCTATTTTCATTTGTATTAATTCTATGTTCATTTGTATTAATTCCCTAGTTGATAAGTGTCTTTTTCCATGCTATGTACATTTGTGTTGTTGCACTCGTTTACAAATCTATTGCGTGTTCATTCCATGCTATGCTAGTTTTCATTCCATGCTATGCTAGTTTTACCGATCGCGATTTCGTGTTAGCTTGTAGTATTCAATCCATTCCAGACTTGCGTGATGTTATATACTTAGTGCATTCTATCGGTTGATCTGAAGCTTTCGTCATTTTTGTAAAAACAGAAATTCGAAACAAAGATTTAATTAAGAAATAGCTAGCTAGTCAACTAGTAAACGAGTAAGCCAGCAGTTGAAATACGTTAGGTTTCCTCATTATGACGACAAGCTGCGCTGCGATCGTCTTAAATATACACGGACCGCTCCCCAACCGCACCCGGATCATCGTACGGACGCAATGTCGTTATTTGTTTACGTTTTGACTATTGTATTTTTAAGGTTCTTATATTCATTACTGCATAAATTAAATATATGTTCAA